TCTTTAGGCTCCTGCATCTATCAGTCCAAAGAGCGCTAGGGAAGAAGCCGCGAGGAAGCCTTTGCTGAAGCCCAAGCATTTACCCCAAGTCGTAAATCCCCTAAACCCTAAACCCTAAACCCTAAACCCCAATCCCCTAAACCCTGAACCCTAAACCTTATAAACCCTAATTTCCCTGTCGTACATCAAAACACCTCCCCGCCCCACTGTATGGGATGATGCTTCAATCCTTGAGCCTCTGACAGCACCCCTTCCCCCGACCTTACACCAGCTTTAAAAGGGGGCTATACAGGGTTTAGGATTTAGGGATTAGGGTTTAGGGTCTAAACTCCTTAAAGAGGGTTATATACGGGTTTACAGGGGAGCTTCATAGCCATAATCAAGGGGGATGCTAGGAGTTTAGACTATGGATCACATTACAACTGAGCAGTATACCGTTAAAACTGCACCAACGTTCTGAACTCTGAGCCGCTAAGCCATAAACCTTGGGTACTGCCCCACTCATTAATAATTGGATAATGATATCGTTGATATATCTATATTGGCCCCTTAACATGACCCCTTTCAAAATTGTTAACGGGTGGGCAGGACCCAACATAAACCATAGCTAAACCCACAACTCCTAAACCCTGAACTTACTTCCAAAGGCGCTAAGAATGGGCCCCTCTACAGACGCTTCGCCGCTTTGCTGGTGCGGCCGGCTACACTTGGATAGGGATGCCTAGACTGTGTCGCTGAGCATGTGACTTTTGACCTTTGAAACCAATCAGACCCCCGAACGTTACACTGTCAGTCCGAAACTTCACACCGCAAGCCTTAAAGTTCGAATACTTTTATAAGTCCCAAGTCTCCGTTTCATTTTTCATATGGTTTTCCGTGGGCTTCCTAAACCTCTGCAGTAACCCTGTCTAGCCCCTTCTAAAGAACCCCGGCCCCTATGAAACCAACCCTGAACCTTCAAACCCTAAGCCCTAAACCCTAAGCCCTAAACCCTAAACCCTAAGCCCTAAACCCTAAACCCTAAGCCCTAAACCCTAAACCCCAAGCCCTTAACCCTAAACCCTTCACCTTTCGTCTCGGAAGCTTTCCCTGCATCAAGCAACTCTCGCGTGTGCCCTCTTTGGATCCCCGCTGCTGCAGTAAGCATGGCCGGACAGTCGAAGGACCAACCGTCTAGGGTGAGCATTCCGCGTTTAGGATTTGAGGGCTTAGCCTCAAGCCTGCACCCTAAACCCTATAAAGCTTCAGGTGCTACGCGCCAGAAAACCGACGTAACGTAGGTTCTTCCAAAGCTCCTGCTTGCGACATATTGGGATTTCCCAAATAAGAATACCTCTTTAAGGGAATCTCCCAAATTAGCCTCATAGTACGTCGCGGTCTGTATTGGGGTTCCCCTCATAATGGAAACTACCATATTCCTTCAAGCCTCTACCTACCTGTGTTCTGGGTCCTAAGTAACGGGGTGTCCTCCAAGGATTTTGCGAAACGCACACAACCTGCCTTTACCTTCCAAGCTTCAACTTAAGGGAGATGTTCCTATCAGGGTTTAGGGTTTGGGGTTCAGGGTTGGTATGTCGGGTTTAGGGGTTTAGGGTTTAGGGTTTAGGGTTGCCTACCAGATATTGAATGCAGGACCTCATTCTGAGATGTCGGTTTGAAAGAATCGATGTGCGCATGTGATGGCAGTAACACCCTAAACCTGAACCATGTCCCACGGACATGGGGTCTTCACAACCCTATCACCCAGAACCCGTAGAGGATCCAACAATGGGCCCCCCTGCCGCAAACTAGGGGACCACTGGGAGATCCCTTTTTGGATCCTTTAGGGGGTCTGGGATCAGAACCCTAAATCCTAAACCCTAAACCCTAGGAGATGGAGTACGTCTTGGAGTACCCATCCGAGAAGCTGAGCTTTCGCCACCACTTCTCCTCTTTACTGCTGAGCCTTGGGTTTAGGGTTTAGGCTTAAGGCGTTCAGGGTTTGGGGATTAGGGTTTAGGGTTTAGGGTTCATGATTTCGGGCTTGTAGTCTTGGGATTTGGGACTGGGGTTTGGGGATGAGGGCTTAGGCCTAAGCGTCGAAGCAGTTCTTTGGGTACTTTGACCCTGGTCAGTGCCCTCCAAAAACATGAAACAAGGTTCCCCAGAGAGCTTGATGGGCTGTGACAGGGAGGCTAGCAGGGAATGGAGGAGGGACTTGCTAGAGTAGTCCCCAGGTAAACCTGGGTCCCAGTCCCTATAACCCACATTCCTGTATTCCTTACCTTAAATCCTAGACCTTAGACCCTAACCCCCTTACTTCCCTACAGAAAACCTGGGGTGTTTCACGTTTGGGCTTGATTCCAGCAACTACTGGATCCGATCACAGCTGCTGCAGAAAGCAAGATCCACCAAGGAACCCCCATAAGCCCTAAACTTTGAAGATGTGGAGCCGAAATCTATTGGGTTTGGGGTTTACACTTTAGGCGCAATGCCCCAAAAGGGAAGCCATAGCGAGTTAAGAGGTTTGGGGCTTTCAACGCTCTCCTGGCATGGTGCACTCTGTAAGGAGTGGCGACTGGTCTTTGACCCTTCTGGAGCTTGGCAGCTGGGTTGCAAGTTGATGGAAGATGGTTTGGGGGCCTGAGGCATTTTTAGAGTTTGGGGTTTAGGCATGGTAGCATGACGTGGGATTAAGAGCCTACGGATACACCGTCCATAAGGGCTTCAAGAATTCATTGTTTATCCTCTGAAACTGAAGCTACATTTCCCCATATGCAACTGTACATACGCCCCGCACGCAGCTGGACAACTCAAACCACCCTAAACCCTAAACCCTAAGGTGTTTAAGTATGCGGCCATAGCGGGGACTGAATCCTGAGGACCTAGAATCCCCCAAGTAAGTCCGTAACTAAAGGGAATGAAATAGGAACCCCAAGAATACAGTAGGAATATAGCAGGAATACAAGGACCTTGGTAGGTATATTTCTAGTATATTCAGCCAAAGCCAAACCCCTAAACCCTAAACCTTAAACCTTAAACCCCTCAACCCCTAAACCCTAAACCCTGAACTCCTAAACCCTAAGCCCCTAAAGCTTAAACCTTAGACTCCTGCAAAGCAGCTTTCACCCTCCTTAAAACCTTCAATCCAACAACCCAAACCCTTACATCTCCAAAGTTGTGCAGGCAATGGGTATGCCCAAACCTAGGGGTTTAGGGTTTAAGGTTCAGGCATTCAGGGTTGAGAGTAGAGGGATGAGAGTTTAGGGTTTTCTTGAGTATGCCTGCAGGTTCAAAGTAGTTATAACATGATTATTGCTGGTACTTATGACTTATAGCCCAATCAGAACCATCTTAGGGGATACTTGGGTTACCTACACCGTACGGGTCCGAGAACCCAAATACCAGGGCTTTAAATCCCAAATACCATTCAGAGTATAGTATTTGGGCCCTAAAGCCTTATTATTTGGGTCCTATACACCCTTATAAAGCCCCCATATATTCCTATATATCCTCCTCGAACCCCGTATAACCCCCTTCAAAGGAACCCTATTATTTGAGTCCTTGGACCCTTGGGGACAAGTATATCGTTACCAGGCCCCTTAAGTAGATAGAATATAGGGTTTAGGGTTTAGGGTATAGTCCCCCTTAAGTAGATAGAATATTGGATATATGGGGATCCTATGACGTTTTGAATCCCTGTGCAGGTCCTATGGGATCCCAGAGGGCGCCTGTTTTCAAGAAACCCTACAACTTGAACCCGACATACACATATGTATATACATATGGGAGTTTCCCAAAGTTTGGGGTACCATTTTTGGGGGTCCCAATAATAAAGACTAGAGCTTATTGGGGTCTATATTGGGGTCCTTCTATTTTGGGAAACTACCATATATGTCTATAAAGTCTAGGGCTTAGGGTTATGTATCTGAAGGGCTTAGGGCTTATATGTATTATTATACATATACAGAGATTGCATTAAGAGCTGTGATGAGCGCAGCCATAAAACCCAAAGGATTTTAAGTATTCATATGTGCTCAAAGTAGGGCTGCTATATTATGATTTAGTCATATGGTCCCCTATAACCCTAGACCCCAAACCCTAAACCTTAAACCCTGAACCCTAGACCTTAAACCCTAAACCCCAAACGCCAAACCCTAAACCCTAAACCCTATATTATTATATAGGTACTTGGGATTTTTTTTGGGAGAGGGCCTTACCTTCCTAGGTAGCTTGGGGTCGCTGGTGGCCGCAGCTTGCCTACTTCCCGGGGAGAAGGCCGGCTTCAGGGTTTAGGGTTATATGAACTCTTAAGGGTTTACGATTTAGGGTTTAGGGTTCAGGATTTAGAGTTTAGGGTCTAAACTCCTGAAAGGCGGGTTGTAGGAAGGATTATTTTCCGGGCGCTGGTGATCCCTGGTCCGTAGCTAAACCGAAAAGATCTACATATTCCACATAGCCCCTACTTGGAGGTTTAGGGTACTTATAACCAAATTACAACCACATATACTTAAGGCCAAAAAATAAGCCCCTTAAGTCCCCGGGTATGGTCACAATTGGGTTATACGTGCCAGATATAGTTGGGCTAAGATTGCCCTGGACCTCCGCGCGGTTACGGGCGTGCCAGGTTACTGTGAGCGGTGGTTCCAAGTTCTTCAAACGGCAGCACTATCTAGGCTTTGGATTCCATAAAGAGACGGTGTCCAATATAGACCCGAATATACCATATTCCCCTGTTTTCGGAGCTCCCAGAAGGACCCCTAAACCCTAAACCCTAAATCCCTAATTTCTGAAAGCCTCCAAACGATGAAGCCGCTGAAAAATCATCACCTCAGAAACTTGCGCCTTAGATCAGCCGAAAGTCGCAACTAGAGCGACCCTATCTGCCCTTACCCCAAATGTTACGCGGTTTAGGGTTTAGGGTTTAGGGTTTAGGGTGGACCCCAAATTCTTCAAGGGCTCTACCCGCCAGGAATATTAGTCACATAGCTTCATCTAGTGACAGGGCCTCAAATCACCAGGTGAACGTTCCGGGCTCCTGGACTCTGAAAGAGCTGGCCGCGTTCCTTTGCACAAAGGCCGCCTGAGCCCATGCAGAGCACAAACCGGAAATAGGAGAGCTGTAAAGAAATAGTGACAAAGAGAACGGAAATTACGATTCACCGTGTTTGGTTTAGGGTGGCTTTCATTCTTGCCGTTGATGCTGTGCCCCGTATTCTACTGCTACGATGCCCAGTATCACTGTACACCTCATAACACGATGGTCGGGAATAAGGGAATATCATCCCTATAGAATCCGTTCATAAGGCCTAAACCCTATAAATGTTCCCTTCTTCTCTATTAACCCGTGGTAGGTTCCTTGAGCCCAGAGGCCGCCGTGACCCGGCTCTACAACACGTACCTGGAGGCTGTGTTCTTCTCCTTCCCACGATTTCGTACCCAGCCACCGAGTGAGCATGCGCTCAAGGAGAAGAAGGATCTCTGCGGCCGCGACATGGAACAGCTGCAAACCATCCTCTTCCACGACCGCCTGACCTTGCTGAGCCAGTTCGCATTTAACGTGGGGCTCTACTATGCCATTCCGGGGTACTACCCAGCTCCGACAGGTGTGGTCACACCTCTTCATGAGCGTGCGCTTCGCCTCGTGGCCAACCACTACCTTATGTCCTTCGGCATGTACTGGATGCATCGGGCGCTTCATGTCGTTCCATTCTTGTGGGACAACATCCACTGTTATCACCACTGGGCAAAGCATCCACTGTCCCGCAACACCTACGACGATCACTGGCTCGACAACTTCGGCAATGCTGTGGTGGGACATTTCTGCGCACAGGCCTTCTGGATTCACTTGAGAAGCAAAGGAGGATTTCATACCTGTACTTTCCATTTCTTTTTATGGCAGAGGAGCCATTTTCTTTGCACCAGAACCCTGAATCCCTGAGCACCCAACTCCCAGCAACAGAGCCATATGGTTGAGGCACATGGGACTTAACCCCCCCCCAAACTAACATAATGGTCAACACAGAGGTTCTGGGGGTTCGGGTTAGATTGGCCGCGGGGAGGGTACCACGTGCAAGGTCGGACGTCGCTTTGAGTTCCGACAAGATGTCTCTTTCAATTTAGCGTTGTTCTAGTGGATGCTGCGTGTGTAGGAACATGTATATGTATATATATATACATATGTATATATATATATATATACACGGTGGATATTGTATAACCTGCATGACAATAAGTACCGTATACCTTTCAAGATATGGCACAATGCTATACTAGGTCATGGCGGATGCTTATTATCCACCGTATGTATATCTGTATACCATTGTTTTGCATGCAAAACAGAGGCAAGAGCAATGTACGTCTTGTGTGGCAAAGAGCCTGAGTTAAGTTACCATGCTAAAGACACCGTATTGCTCTCCATATCGATACTACAGAAATGTCCTTGAGCTCCATAACTCTTAAGAGTGCACGTACCCAAATAGACAGGTTTTGGGTCCCAAACGCTAGAATCTGAATCCTTCTGGGGCCTAAACCCCATTTTTGGGGTGCTTGGGTTCTGTGGGACAGCACCCTACAGCCTAAACCCTAAACCCTAAAGAGTAGTTTCGATTTGATTTTCCATTATCCCAATATAAGCCTGATCTACCCAAATGGGTACGTACCTATATCCCCTATGCAAACCCTAAACCCTAAATACGAGTTGACCAGGCCCTCCTCCCCCTGGACCGCGGGACCTTTTGGTTCTCTCACCTCTTCCGTATCTTCGAGAGTCTGGACAGCCAAAGGGTTTAGTTTAGGGTTTAGGGTCTAGGGTTTAGGGTTTAGGGATTATAGTTTCCCTAAAGTAGATCGAATATGGCTTTGGGCATATTAAATAAGATCGCAATATGTACCCCATATTCTATCTACTTGAGGGGGGTATAGGGTTTGGGGCTTAGTTGAATGCTGCCCCGCACCCAGGGACAGTTCGATGATGATCATGATATATTTTTCTAAAGCCTAGAATATTAAGTGCCCCGATTATCGACTGTTACTGGGTGGCAGCAGTACACTTTCTATTTGCGAGACTTTACTTTTTCGAGGATTAATGGTAGCCCTAAACGTCCCCGAAGCAGTCAAGTGAAAAAGAGGGAGGCCCGAGGGTTGGGATTACCACAATCTTCCCTCGTTTCAAATTTCGGGTGCGAAGCCTTTGTCATAAACTCAGGAGAAGTGGTTGTTGAGTGGGAAGGAGGGGGTGGAGAGGGCTGGGTTGCTGTCCCTGAATTCAAGCATGAGCTTCCATCATAAGGAGACCACGACTTTTTTACTATGTGAGCTGTAGTCTAAACTCCGTAAAGGGGCCTATATAGGGGATTATATAGGGGACTACTATACGGGTTCTTAAGGGGGATACTAGGAGTTTAGATTATAGCTGATGCATTTATGCTTGGGCAACTCAATGAAGTTCCTGAACAACAGAGGAGATGTGGGGCTGGCTTGGGTCTTCCCAAAATGAGCTATAGTCTGAACTCCTTAAAGGAGGTCATATAGGGGATTCTATAGATTCTATAGGGGACTACTAGAGGGGTTATCAAGGGGGATGCTAGGAGTTTAGACAATGGCTCAAATGCTCAAGATGTTTATCTGACTCTGCAAAATGGTTGAGCTGGCAGTCACTATGGTTCAGTTCTAATTCATCTACAGGTACAACGCATGCCTGGGAATCTGGAACCCATATGATGTGGCACGACAGGGTGGGCAGGGCGGTTGCGGCGTGAAGGTGAGCGTGCACAAGAAAAGACTAACGGCATTCCAAGACCTCTAACGCCAGGAATGAGAATGGCTGTGTCTTCTCGAAGCAGCTACAGACTTGGGGATGCTGTAGGGCTGCCATAGAAGAAAGGCATGCAGTTGCAGCTTGGGTAGGTTCAACCCATGCTTAGCAAGCCTCATGCTGCTCAACGTAACCAGGGCAGTAGGAACCAAAGCTGATTGCTATAAGCGACGCAACTCTAAGCTGTAATTGCTAGTTGTGGAAGCAACGGACCAGAAAATGGAAATGTGTACAGTCTTGGGTGTTATGGTATAGTTGCTACGATAGGGGTCCATTCCTCCATTCCCCACTTATAACCAGTCAGCCAAAGCGCGCCCGCTAGAGATTGAGCGAAGCAAGCATGATCCTAAGCTGCACCGAGCCTTTGATCCCTGATACTGGGTAGGTCCGTATAATTGCACGGGAGAGGTATGGCATTTGTACAGAAATACTGCAGCATGGTTGTTAAGGGAGACCCCCTGGTAATCTCTCTGTAGCCCCTAGATATTTTCCGGCGTCACCAGGATACCCATATCTTGAGAAACCACCATATAAGTGCATCCTAGCTTTACCGCATATACTGTATACTGCCATAGCGCCGTCCTACAGGTAAAGCACTCGTTGAATGGAATTGTACACGATTGACCCTCAAAAAGATCCCAGCCAGCCTGCAATCCTGAAACCTATACCCTGAACCCCAAACGCTAGCCTAAGCCCTTCAACCCAAAACCTGCGTAAGCCCTAAATCTAGATTCATCCGAAATGGCTATCCCGAAATCTCCTAGAGACCGCTTTGAACACTGATTTTGACCGGAATCTATCACCCTGAAGCTTAAGCCTAAACCTTCAGCCGTAAACTCTAAAGAGGCACTGCAAACAAAGAACCCACTCTTAATAAAGCCGAATAAATCCCTATGAAACCCTAATTACGAAGGCCATTAAAAGGAGAAGGGTCATTAAGACAGGAGAAGCCCACTCTAACCCTAAACCCTAAACCCCTAAACCCATAAACCTTAAACCCTACACCCCTAAACCCTAAACCTTAAACCCCAAACCCCTAAACCCCTAAACCCTAAAACTGTTTCTGTGAAGACAGGAGAAGCATTCCGGCGTGAGCTGCGGCTTCAATTTGGCGCATCAACTGCAGAGGCGGTTATGAGGGTTTAGGGTTTAGGGTTTGGGGTTTAGGGTTTAGGGTTTAGGGTTGGGTGGTGGTAATCCGTTCAAGGTGTACAGTTTAGGGGTTTTGGGGTTTAGGGGTTTAGAGCTTAGGGTTTAGCATCTAGAGTTGGGGTTGGAAGAAGCTGTTTAGGGTTTAGGGTTTAGGATTCAGGGCTTAGGGTAGGGTTTAGGAGCTAGGGCTTGGGGTTTAGGAGTTAGAGCAGGAGTTTAGGCTTGGAATTTGGGGCTTGCCGTAAAGCTTTAGATTTCGTGGCTTAGGGTCCTGGGTTGGAGAGGGACAGGGTTTAGCGTTTAGGGTTTAGGATTTAGAGTTTAGGCTTTAGGGTGTAGGATATAACCCGCATATGGGGGGTTCACATGATTTTCACAATTACGAAACCTTTCGGCATCATCCCATCATCCCCCAGGGCTTAGAAGATCTAACCCAACTGTAAGCCACGCGGTTTAGAGCTTTGCGTTTAAGGTTTAGGGCTATACCTGCATTTGTAACCGAACGGTATCAGGTGATGTCGGGGCTTATAACTGGGGCTTACCTGCAGTTTGAGGTAGGTTTGGGGGTTAGGAGTTGCGTGTCTAGAGGTTGTGACGTGTAGACATCAAGTGCTTAGGGTTTAGGGTTTAGGGTTTAGGTTAAAGGTGGTTTAGGGTTTAGAGTGTTGGGGTCCAGGGTTTTCGATGCAGAGCGCAGGGATTCATGGGTCAAGGGTATATGAGGCTCCACGGATATTAAACATCCCGTGACGCAGCCGTGGAGAACCTGTGATGTTGGGAGGTTTGAGTGTGTGTTGAATGTCAGAGTAGAAGACACTTCCTGCAGCTTCAATAAGCGTCATGCTTCCTGCCTGTGGTCAGTCCAAAACGGGATCAGGGATATAGGGTACTTTCCATAGACTGGAGACCCCAATATAGACCCCCCAAATACTATAATCCTCATTATATAATATGTGCATTAGTGTCCCTAAGCCCTAAACCCTAGTGTTAGCTCATGATTTCTGCCTACCTTGCAACATGCCTAAATTGTTTGGCTTCAGGCTTTGGGGCTCGAAAAGAGACAGACGTGCAGGTTTAGGGTTTTGGGGGCGCAGCGGGCTTCACTGGTGAAGATTCAGAAGTTGTTCGGAAGACCAAGAACGGCTCGTTCTGAGCATTTGCATTCCATTTTTGAACCCTAAACACTAAACCCGGCTAAGCCCTTAAACCTTAAACCCTACACCCTAAACCCTTGAACCCTCAACCCTGAACTTGGTCTTGCGGAAACTTGGTTTCAATTCGATGAATGGCCCTGAGACTTCATGTCCGTACGCTGCTTGAAAATAGCTGCTATATCTGCATACGCCCTAAGTACCCCGCTTCAGGTACTTCCCGTTCGCACAGATGCCCCACCACCATGACTGGCATCATGAAGGCCACAAGGGATGCCACTTGCCTCTTCAACTTGGGGGGGGTCATAGAGGTATAATCTGACGGGGTGTAGGGTTAAGGGTGTAGGATTAACAAAACGTATTGAGCTTATCATAAATGTGCCCAAGAAAGTACTACATGTTAGAGGAGCATTCGCTGTAAGTGGAGATGAGGAAGGGGAGGGGCGATGTAAGATTTAGCACTGAGCGTCAAGGCTCGGTGTTCGCAGTAGTTACGAGTTATATCTGTAGGTTTGTGGGTTCTGAAGGCCAAACTTGAAAGCCTTACAGTTTAGGGTTTAGGGATTTCGGTGTGTAGGGTTTAGGGTTGAAGGTATTAAAGCCCTCAACGAGCCCCTTCTCTGTCTCGCTTTTCTGGTGGAAGCATGAATTGCCGGTAGTCTAGCCATGTATACGACTTTTGTAGTGCCTTGTTTATCTTTTGGTAGTTCTAAGGCCCTTCCATACAATCACCTAAACCCTAAACCCTAAACCCCTAAACCCTAAACCCCAAACCCTATACAATCACCTAAAAACCTAATGCCCTGTTCACGTAGGCGTACG